CTACCACGCTTTCTCTCCGTTTGCCACGGCGCTCTGCAAGGGCGTCCGCCGGAGGCGTTCCCTTCGCCGCGGCCCTCATTTGCCTATCACGCCAAGGCTCTGCACAGCGTGATGGGTCAGATACGGCCGCACAGTGCTTCCGCGAGCATGACGTACTGGCCGAGGTGGTTGTGGTGTACTCCTTCGGCTATCATTCTGAATGCAACAGCCCGCATATTTGGTCATCTTTGGAGCTTTCATGGGAGTGGACAGTCCTCGGCACCTCACATCTCCCCTCTGCGCGGTGCTGACTGACACGACGTGTCCTGCCTGGGGTCATGCCGATATGCCACAGTTTACGCGGGCTCGCTTGAGCCTCGAGCTGATGCTCATCTTTGTCGTTCTCTGTCGATCGATGCGGGTGAGGCGTTCTGGTTGAGGCTCGGTTGCGAGGATGACAAGCATCTTTAACCCATTTTCTGAGACGGGTGAGGGCCCTGCGGCGAGAGCGGGACGCTAACACGGCGCGGCCAGGGGTGCTGCCGTGGCCGTCTTGGCACACAGGCACGCGCACTGGTGGCGCACGCCCGTCCGCGTCCCCAGGTGCCCCGATCCCGTGCGTGACGCGGATGCACCAGCTGAGCCGAGCCTTGGACCGCGCTTTTGGGTCCCACACCTCAGGAATGATCCACGCGCGTGCGAGCCTCTTGGCACTGATGCAGCGTTTGAGTTGCCCTGCGCAGTTGCCCAGTGAGCAGTGATGACATGCCCGTGCCATCCATTTTCGGAGGCTGGGGGGGCGGCCTGTGGTGAGAGCTCCAGCGAGGCGCTGTCCGACGGGTCGGTCGCCTGCTGTACTTTGCGGGCCGCTGGGTCGGAGGGGGGTTTGCCCGGTGGGGCGTCCCCAGGACCGCGCTCCTCACCGATGCCGCCCGTGCACGGCTGAGCTCAGGCTGCCTGCAGCCGGATTTGCACGGCCTACCACGGTTCCTCCATTTGCCATGGCGCTCTGCAAGGGCGTCTGCCGGAGGCGTTCTTTTCGCCGCGGCCCTCATTTGCCTATCACGCCATGGCTCTGCACAGCGTGCTGGGTCAGATACGGCCGCACAGTGCTTCCGCGAGCACGACGTACTGGCCGAGGTGGTTGTGGCGTATTTCTTCGGCTATCATCCTGAATATAACAGCCCGCATATTTGGTCATCTTTGGAGCTTTCATGGGAGTGGACAGTCCTCGGCACCTCACATCTCCCCTCTGCGCGGTGCTGACTGACACGACGTGTCCTGCCTGGGGTCATGCCGATATGCCACAGTTTACGCGAGCTCGCTTGAGCCTCGAGCTGATGCTCATCTTTGTCGTTCTCTGTCGATCGATGCGGGCGAGGCGTTGCAGTGGAGGCTCGGCGAGGATGACAAGCATCTTTAATCCATTTTCCGACACGGGTGAGGGCCCTGCTGCGAGAGCGGGACGCTGACACGGCGCGGCCAGGGGTGCTGCCGTGGCCGTCTTGGCACACAGGCACGCGCACTGGTGGCGCACGCCCGTCCGCGTCCCCAGGTGCCCCGATCCCGTGCGTGACGCGGATGCACCAGCTGAGCCGAGCCTTGGACCGTGCTTTTGGGTCCCACACCTCAGGAATGATCCACGCGCGTGCGAGCCTCTGGACACTGACGCAGCGTTGGAGTTGCCCTGCGCAGTCGCCCAGTGAGCAGTGATGACATGCCCGTGCCATCCATTTTCGGAGGCTGGGGGGGCGGCCTGTGGTGAGAGCTCCAGCGAGGCGCTGTCCGACAGGTCGGTCGTCTGCTGTACTTTGCGGGCCGCCATGGTTCTGCACAGCGTGATGGGTCAGATACGACCGCACAGTGCTTCCGCGAGCACGACGTACTGGCCGAGGTGGTTGTGGTGTACTCCTTCGGCTATCATTCTGAATGCAACAGCCCGCATATTTGGTCATCTTTGGAGCTTTCATGGGAATGGACAGTCCTCGGCACCTCACATCTCCCCTCTGCGCGGTGCTGACTGACACGACGTGTTCTGCCTGGGGTCATGCCGATATGCCACAGTTTACGCGAGCTCGCTTGAGCCTCGAGCTGATGCTCATCTTTGTCGTTCTCTGTCGATCGATGCGGGCGAGGCGTTGCAGTGGAGGCTCGGCGAGGATGACAAGCATCTTTAATCCATTTTCCGACACGGGTGAGGGCCCTGCGGCGAGAGCGGGACGCTGACACGGCGCGGCCAGGGGTGTTGCCGTGGCCGTCTTGGCACACAGGCACGCGCACTGGTGGCGCACGCCCGTCCGCGTCCCCAGGTGCCCCGATCCCGTGCGTGACGCGGATGCACCAGCTGAGCCGAGCCTTGGACCGCGCTTTTGGGTCCCACACCTCAGGAATGATCCACGCACGTGTGAGCCTCTGGGCACTGACGCAGCGTTGGAGTTGCCCTGCGCAGTCGCCCAGTGAGCAGTGATGACATGCACTTGCCATCCATTTTCGGAGGCTGGGGGGGCGGCCTGTGGTGAGAGCTCCAGCGGGGCGCTGTCCGACGGGTCGGTCGCCTGCTGTACTTTGAGGGCCGCCATGGCTCTGCACAGCGTGATGGGTCAGATATGACCGCACAGTGCTTCCGCGAGCACGACGTACTGGCCGTTGCGGTTGTGAGTACTTTTTCAGTTGTCATTCTGAAAACAACAACCCGCATATTTGGCCATCTTCGGAGCTTTCATGGTAGCGGGTAGTCGTTTGATGCTCTTCTCGGACTGTGTCTCCGCCCAGGGGGGTTAAGCCGGCCAGTGGCGCCAAGGCCGTGCCAGTGGGGATGGGGATCGGTTCCCAGACACGTGACGTTCTGTTTTTCCCAACCATCCTGTGGTGTTGGGTCCTCGTTTTGAAGAGACAGCGCCCCGCGTTCACTCCTCCTCCCGCTGCCCCCTCCCTCCTGCCATCATCATCATCGTCATCACCACCATCATCATCATCATCATCATCATCATCATCATCATCATCATCATCATCATCATCATCATCATCATCATCATCGTCATTATCACCATCATCATCGTCATCATCATCATGGGGCCACGAAACGTGTGCAACCGTTTCGGTATCATCATCATCATCATCATCATCATCATCATCATCATCATCATCATCATCATCATCATCATCATCATCGACATCATCGACGTCATCATCACCACCACCATCATCATCGCCATCATCACCCGTCACACGTTTCGCGGCCCCATAGGGATCTCCACCGAAGGCCTCAGTGCCACCGCCCGCATGCGTCAGCCACACCCACTTCGGCACACCCCTCACACGTTTCGTGGCCCCATAGGGAGCTCCACCGAAGGCCCCAGTGGCTGCGCTCCCATGCGCCCACCGCACCAATTTCGGCACACCCCTCACACGTTTCGTGGCCCCATAGGGAGCTCCACCGAAGGCCCCAGTGGCTGCGTTCGCATGGCGGCACCGCACCCATTTCGGCACACCCCTCACACGTTTCGTGGCCCCATAGGGAGCTCCACCGAAGGCCCCAGTGGCTGCGCTCCCATGCGCCCACCGCACAGATTTCGGCACACCCCTCACACGTTTCGTGGCCCCATAGGGAGCTCCAGCGAAGGCCCCAGTGGCTGCGCTCCAATGCGCCCACCGCCTACTACCAACCACTACTACTACTACTACTACTACTACTACTACTACTACCTACTACTACTACTACTACTACTACTACTACGACTACTACGACTACTACTACTTGAACTCTATTACTACTATACTACTACTATACTACTATTATTAACTACTACTACTACTACACTACTACTACTACTATTACTACTACTAACCACTACTTACTACCACCACTACTACTACTACTACTACTGCTACTACACCACCACCACTACTACCACTACCACAACTACTACTACCTCCTACTACTACTACTACTACTACTACTACTACTACTACTACTACTACTACTACTACTACTACTACTACTACGACTACTAACTGCTCATACTACAAAAAAAAAAAAAAAAAAAAAAACAAAAAAAAAAAAAATACTACGACTACTACGACTACTACTACTACTACTACTACTACTACTACGACCTACTAGTAGTACTACTACTACTACTACTACTACTACTACTACTGCTGCTACTACTACGACTACTACGACTACTACTACTACTACTACTACTACTACTACTACTACTACTACTACTACTAAAACCCGTCATCATCCGCCACTGTGCCGCGAGGCACGAGGAGGAGGCACAGGCACAGGAGGAGGAGGAGGAGGAAGAGGAGGAACAGGAGGTGAAAACTAAGTCGGGGCCACAAGTGCTGTCTACCGGGGCCGGCAAAAAGAGGCAGGTGCTGCGCCTGCGGAGGCTGCCTGCGGCGGCCACGCCCAGTGTCACGAGTGTTCGGACAGGCATGCTCGAGCCATTCACATTCGTATTCATTTACACTAGGCGTAGCCATGATCGCATTCATGCAAATATACTCACTCGCACGCAGACCCATTCACACTCAGACTCACTCGCGCTCTGACTCACCCGCGTTCATTCTCTGGTAATCAGACCTATTGTATTCCTTTGCGTTGTGTACCCCGCCACGTTCCGGCACACCCCTCATACGGTTCGTGGCCCCATAGGGAGCGCCATCGAAGAAGATACTCACAATTGCGGTACTCGCAACTGCATCTGGTTGGGTCCTTCGCCAGGATAATTTTCAATACGCGGTCCCCAGAAGTCCCAACCTTTTTACCCCAGGGCCAGTTTTTCATCCCGAGCCGTAAATTTTTGACGGTCCCAGGGCCCAATGTGGGCCCTCAGAGGCCGAAAACGGATGTGCAAAATCCGGCCTGATTTTTGAATGACGCGATCATGTCTGGGTTTCGTGATGGGCCACTTTTCCACCACCACTACCATACGAAACACGAAATAGAAGGGAGGATGGGGAGGCTCGCGCGCGCCGGGCGTCTCGAGGGGTCCCCCGCGCCGCCGCAG